TCACATTTGTCCTTGCACAGCAATGGTAGTGGCCGGCATGGCCATGTTGGAGCAGAATTCTTCTGTGACAGCTGTTTGTTTTGGTTTGCTAGCCAGAGCACAGCTTTTTTCTCATAACTAGTTCATCGTACAGCCTCACTATAGTTTGCGAGTAGAAGTGTGTGTTCTAAGTGGGTTCAATTCACGGGTTCGGACAGGAATTTGAAAGTGTCTTTCTCTCAGAGTGAATACAACTGTCTGAATGGCACGAGTCCTGTACTCAGGAGTTTAGTTCCTGCTTAATTTTTTTCCCATTTACTGAGAAACTTGCCAGGGATTCCTCTTTCAGGTTTTTGCATTGGGATAGAGTTCAGAAAATTCCTAGGAAATGTAGTTCTTTGAACTAGGTTCAAGAAGCAAGAGGTGTTGGTATTTGGAAAAGGAGTTTCAGAATCCCATATAGTGGTCAGTCAGTGCTGAGCAGAAGTCACCTCTTGCCAGAAAAATAATTGATATTTCTCAGATCTCAATACAGTTCTTCATTACCTGTTCAGCTTCATAGTGCACATTCAATTTGAAGTCTTGTGCAGCTTTTCAAAGAGACAGCTCATTTAGTTACACGTATTGCTCTTGGGTTTAGTGCATGTTCCAAAATTCAGTCTCTGGATTTTAGTGCCTGGTACCTATTGCATGATACAGATGCCTCACATGGTAGTAGCTAATATTGTCATGTATATTTTGTCCAAGGCAGCTGTAAGCCCATGATGCTCTCTGAATCCTTCTTAATGCATGCAGAGTCTTATTTCTTGGCTGATCTGGTAAAGTGAGATGAGAAGGTTTTTCCCTGAGATTTTCTTCTCGTCTTTGGACAACATATGCCTCTGCTGGAAAGGAGAATGTACTGGATATGCTGTCTGTTCCTGCCTTCTTCTGACCAGAAGGTAGGAGCTCTGCAAAGCTACACTTCAGGAGTGGCCATCCGTTATGATCTTGGAAGCTGTATATCAGTTTTTTCATACAACAGGAGACAGAGTCCTGCAGTTCCATCATGGAGAACCATAGGGGCAAAGAATGTGGTTAGCGGGTTGTCAGAAAGAGATGAGTGCCTTTTCAGGGGTCTTGCCCTTGGTGAAGCCGTGTTGGCTGTCACCAGTCACCTCCCCATTTTCCATGTGCCTTAGCATGGTTTCCAGGAGGATCTCCTCCATGATCTGTCCGGGAACAGAGGTGAGACTGACTGCCCTGTAGTTCCCTGGGTCTTCCTTTTTTTCCCCTTTTTAAAAATGGGGGTTATGTTTCCCCATCTTCCTTTCTGGCTAGTTCTCATGTTTTTTTCTTCTGGTCATGCCTTTTATTACAGGAAAGAGAATTTATTCTGGACAGTTGCACTCTTTCTTTTTTTTTGGTCTAACCATGAAGCTCCCCTGAGTCCTATAAACATTAGTTCACTATTATGGAGTGCTAAATCCTATGCCTTGCCCTTCCCCTCCCAAAATGTATCAAGTTAATATTCTTATCATAGTTGAAAAGCTTTTTTTTTTGCTTTTTTTTTTTTCCTCCTATTTAGTAAAGTCTAATGAAGCCGTGTTGGCTGTCACCAGTCACCTCCCCATTTTCCATGTGCCTTAGCATGGTTTCCAGGAGGATCTCCTCCATGATCTGTCCGGGAACAGAGGTGAGACTGACTGCCCTGTAGTTCCCTGGGTCTTCCTTTTTTTCCCCTTTTTAAAAATGGGGGTTATGTTTCCCCATCTTCCTTTCTGGCTAGTTCTCATGTTTTTTTCTTCTGGTCATGCCTTTTATTACTTTTTTTTTCTTTCCGTGGGGGTCTAACCATGAAGCTCCCCTGAGTCCTATAAACATTAGTTCACTATTATGGAGTGCTAAATCCTATGCCTTGCCCTTCCCCTCCCAAAATGTATCAAGTTAATATTCTTATCATAGTTGAAAAGCTTTTTTTTTTGCTTTTTTTTTTTTCCTCCTATTTAGTAAAGTCTAAAATCACAAGGAATTGTAGCTGCGTCACCTCAGAGGTCTAGCAAAGCTTTTTGATCAAGTGGTCTGTCAGTTCTTCATAGAAGTATGGAGGTTATTTGAGTTTTGAGGGCTCTGCTGCTTCCAGGCCTATGATTTTTGTCTACTAAACTGTGCCTACGTCCTTTTCCAGGCCACCTAGCTTTTAGAAGAAAAAGGGAGTGCTCAGAAGTGGTGCTTTGATGTTTCCAAATGTCTGGGAGCTCTGTGCCACACAATACGTGCCCTTCGTGGAGGTGAGGTGCTGGAGCCAGGGCATGCCCAGCGCCTGACTGTTGCCAATTCCTGCCTGTCTTGAAAACCCTATTCAGGGGCCTTTACTATTCTACACTGCAAATATTTAACTGTCTTCAGAATCGTGTGTAATTTGCAGCTTTTTTGCCTCTAAATAGGAAGGCTGTCTTCTCAGGTGTTTGGGGCATTGTTGGAGATGGGGTGTTGGCCGATATTGTCACTGAGAAGGGACAAAATCACCAATTTATTTTTAAAGGTAAGCAAGCACAGGCTTTGTGAAAGGAGGAGAAGAGGCTCTTTCAACTTTGGGCTTGCCCTGATTTCCATGGAGGTAACTGCAGAGTGTGCTTGGAGACTGATCTAAAGGGCTGTTCATGCTTGGAAGCTGTTACGGAATAACAGTATTCTGGAGGAAAGAGGCTGCGGAAAGAATTTTCTGTTCCCCTTGGCCTTCTTTCAAGACATTTTCTGGACTAAAGTGGGTAGAGACAGTCCTTTTTGTATGGTTGGGAAAAAAAGACCAAGACTTTTCATCTCATGACAGTGTATAGAAAGGTCCTGAGCTGTTGGTGCGGTGGTTTGTAACGCTGTAACGCCTTATCCTGGCAGACAGAAGGGAAAGGACAAAAGGGTGGAAGTTTCCTTTTAATCATCAGGACTTTTTTTAGGTGATAGAGTTACAGAGTAAAATGTTCTTCCTCTGTTGGTTTGCTGTTTGCCTGCTCTGTAACACTAACCCACTTAAAATTTGTGCGGCTCTTTCTGAGGTTATTTTAAACCCTCAGCAATGTATACAGATTTTGTAACCTTGGATAAAAGCACCTGAGTCGCGGTTTCATTTTTGCCCTTTCAGGCATGTGGAAAGTGCCCCGGCACATTTCAAGGATTTTGAACTAGAAACTTCTTAGATATGGGTTACGGTTTCAAAGCTCGATTGATACAGCGTACGTCACGGGAATTATATCAAGGGAATGGTTCTCTGTTTCTTTAGATATTTAATATAGATTAAAGCTTCGTGTTTACTTAAAGAATTCCATGGACTCCTTTTGGGGTTAATTATGTTGGAATATACGCCCTGGCAATTTTGGAGAGAGCTCTCTCTGCCCGACTGCCTCCCCTGTTTTTATGTCTGTGCTGAATAGTTTATCCATCAGATGCTGAGTTTAAGGAGTGGCTCATCTTCCAGTGACAGTACCTGCTCCGAGCTTTTAAACAGAGTGTACTGAACTGCTCATCTATGTGAGACTATAGACAGTTCAGTAGTGTGTAATAGTAACTCATAACAAAAAAAGAGGAAGGATGAATTAAGAGTTGGGCAGAGGATTCTACTCTGTCTGCCTAGTATTGTGGTGGCCTGTTTTCTTCTCAAAATACAGGTGGATTGGTTGATGAATCTTGAAAAATAACAAGTGGTAGGAAAAGCTCTGTATTGTGTCAAATCACCATCATATTTCCCATATTTTGCAGTAATCACTCCAGTTATTCAGAAAGTCAGGGCCCACAGGATGATATATAAATAGCTCTCCTTGTATTGGATCGTTTGCAGAATGAAAGTCAGGGTACAAGACATGAGACAAAAGGGCAACATGACAAGCTGGTGATGCAGAAGAGATGGCAGGATAGTGAGAGAGCTATATATGTAAATTACTGGGCAGTAGAATCTTCTCCTATTATAATCAGGTACCAGAAAACAAAATTATGATAGTGTTGATACCAGTTTGTGGTTTTCTTCAGCTAGTTTGGCAAAGGTGAGATTTAAGGAAAGACTTGAAGCTGGATAAAGTACAGACTTCCTTTTCAAGGATTTTTTTCTGCATCTATGGTAAAGCCTGGGCAACTCTTAGGGAAGGGTCTGTGAAAAATGCGAGATTTTAGTTGAGGGAAAAAGAGAATAACGAGAAAATAGTAAATAGTGTAAGAAGTTAAATGTTTCACACCCTAGTTTACACACAAAGATGATATCGTAATGAAGGACAGCAAACTTGGAAAAGACAAAGAAAGTTAAAAAAATTGATGCATAGGAAGCTCCTTGCCATAATAATATTAGAGTAACTACATAGTGTTGGAAGGAAGAGGAAGAGATTGAATATCTGAAATTAAAACAAATATGTATTGTTGCCTTATGTAAGAAACGCAAATATCTAAAAGGAGACTGAAGTTCCTCATTCGTGATGCCTCCTTCTCATTTGGGTTCAGAAAAAACTAGAGACCATTCCATGATAGTTAGGAAGTTTTTTGTACTTTACTTTAAGCTAAATGATAGACATGTTCCAAAGGATGTCAGATAGTTAATATTGTTCAAATATTTAAAAAAAAAAAAAAAAAAAAAGTGATAATGCCTCTCAGACACTGGTTCTGGATCTTAGGACCTGTAAAGCTTTTATGAGTGACTCCTCAAAACAGTTTGTATTATTTCTGTCATTTGCAAGGACAGGTGGTTTGCAATACAAAGTGGAGCTTTGTCTTCATTATTTTATATCAGAGAAAAGGACTTGTAATCACATTTAATTGTGAGCCTTAAATGATATTTCATAAACAAGATGACAGCTCACAAAACATTCCAAGATACTGTACTCACAGCATGCTTCAGAAGCACACTGAATTCTTCATCTGTGCAGCCTTATGTTTCAGTTTTTGTGGTGCACCTTAATAAATAAAAGTGTATTTGTTATACACTAAGGTATTCGAAAGCAATCTGAATGTTTTTTGAATTCCACTGATTGGGTAAAGGTTTCTTTCTGATTCTATTTCAGATGCATCCACTCGGACTGTGTAACAGCAATGATGAGGAAGACCTATATGAATATGGCTGGGTAGGAGTGGTGAAACTGGAACAGCCGGAGCTGGAGCCTAAGCCATGCCTCACTGTCTTAGGAAAGGTAAGAGGGTACTTTGGGGTAAATACTGCATGTGGCTGTTCCTTGGAAGGGTTAGTTCCTTTCTGAGAAAAATCAGCAAGAAATAAGAGAAAACTCCCTTTACTCAACGAAATATTCCCGTTTGCCTGTTTTCACACTGGATGCTTCAGGGAAAGATAACGTCATAACTCAGTTGATAGAGATGGTGATGGGGGAGCTGAGTGCACGCATTCCCTCTTTGAGCTCTGTAGGAACCTAACAAAGTCTTCTGCAAAAATGGCTGTTCAGAGGAAGCAGTATTGGAGTAGAAATATGGTGAACTGCAAGTGTGATGCTAACTTGATCAAAGTAAGCTTCTTATCAAAAGCAGTCAAAATAAAAGCATTTTATTGGTTTTCCTTAGGTACAATTTTCTCAGAAGATATATTAATTTCCTTTTTGTGGGGAAGAGAAGTCTTCAACCCTTGAAGAGATTTCTTTGCTTTAATTGCAGGACAGGTATCTCTAATAACAAGCAAATCCTACTCTATTGGTCAAAGAATTAAAAATTTTCATCTTGCTGGAATCTGCCAGTAGAATATGGCCTCTGGAATCTAAATTCCTTGCAAAACATTTCCCTTTGTTTTAGGTGGTGAAGTCAGTAAGATACCATTACTGCTGCCAGATACGTTAAAAAGGAAAGCAGAAAGCTGTCCTTTGTTCTCAGCTTAAAATTTTTGAGGATTGAGGTTATCGTACATTGACATTTGAAGTCTAGAGTAGGTGAGGTGTGTGAAAGAGCATAGCCCGCAAGTTCTAGCAGTAACTGAGTAGTTGAAAACACATAAAATCTCTGGGTTTCATTCTAAAATCCAGCTGGCTCAAGTTGCTGAGACTTTGGTAGGATAGTGTTGGTGATTTCAGGTGAGCAGTGAAAATGTTGCATATCGGGCAGAAAATAAAATCCTAGGTTGACGTTTTGTAGGTAAAACCTGTCTCTGTATACTTATAAACAAAACTTCCAACCCCCCCGTCTTTCAAAGGAAATGGGAAACCATCTGCTTGTCTAAAATTTGCTGCAGGTTGAGCTCATGGTACTTAGTGAGAAACATCTCTCTAGAAGTGACTGCCCTTTCTATACAATTTCAGCATAGTACACCTTTTTATTCTAACTTGGAATACTGCTTTTATTTCACCGTCATTTCAGCTGATGCGTCTTTGCTCTTAGGAGGGTAAAATCTGAGGGTAAGGTCTTGTGACGATGGGAATTAGAGAAGACTGGGTACTGAAAGATGCATAGTAATCCATAAGTAAACTCCAGGAGTAAGCTGAGTCTTGGGGAAAGCCATTTAAGGAAGGAATCTGTTCAGTCCCATCTGTCAGGCTCTTGAAAAGCATGTGAGGAAGTAGGTGTGCGAAATGGATGAAGAAAGTGGAAACCATAGATATCCTCCACAAACAGTGTTACAAATATTTTCTGACACAGTGACATCACTTGCCTGATCCACTGCTGCGTAACCAGACCCTGCCATGTCACAGAATCACAGAATGGTTAGGGTTGGAAGGGACCTCAGGAGATCATCTAGTCCAACCCCCCTGCCAGAGCAGGGTCACCTACAGCACGTTGCACAGGACAGCGTCCAGGCGGGTTTTGAATGTCTCCAGAGTGGGAGACTCCACCACCTCTCTGGGCAGCCTGTTCCAGTGCTCCACTACCCTCAAAGTAAAGAAGTTCCTTCTCATGTTAAGATGGAACTTCCTATGTTCAAGTTTATGCCCATTACCCCTCGTCCTATCACTGGGCACCACTGAAAAAAGACTGCTCCCATCCCCCTGGCATCCTCCCATTAAGTATTTGTAAGTATTAATAAGATCCCCCCTCGATCTTCTTTTCTCTAGACTAAAGAGACCCAAGTCCCTAAGCCTTTCTCCATAGGAGAGATGTTCCAATCCCCTAATCATCTTCGTTGCCCTTTGCTGGACCCTCTCCAGCAAAGGACAGTTCCCTGTCCTTCTTGAACTGGGGAGCCGGATTTGCTTCAGGAGTTCTGTAGCATCTACTCTGGTGTGAAATGACGGTGACGTGACTCCTGCATCAGGCTTGTATGGAGAGTTTGGGCACAACGTTTCCTGTGTGCCAGTTTATGTGCAGTAATTTTAACAAGTGAAAAAAGACTGGCTGAGGTTCTAGGCTTCTCAGTAACTGTAATGCAGCTCCTCGTTCTGTATTTTCATGTCGCCATTTATCCTTCTCTTCCTGAAACATTTGTTCCCTATTTCATGCTTGCTGCTGTAGTTTCTCCTCTCTGTCATTTCTCTGCAACCCTTCTGCTCAGTCCTCCCTATGCTCAAGCTATGTCCTGATTTAGAACGTCTTCTCAGAATTCTTGAAATATTGTTGAGTGCAGATAGCAGCAGGAGCATCAGCCATGAGCGTCCTGCAGGTCCTGTCAACGAAGTCAGCCTGGTTATCTTACCAGTGGGAGCAAATTGCATTGCCATTCTCTGGGTCTCTGGAAAGTGAAGTTTCCATGCAATTTGGTGCACATGGCTACATGAGTATTTGGTTTGGCCTGTAAACTGTTTTGCCTGGGTAAGTATCAAACCTGCTGCATGTGAATATGTGTCATCTTCTGGTTGTTTTTAGGATTTGGCAGCTGT